TATATATATATATATATATATCTGTGTCAGTGTAAACTACTTGTACCTGATGATGACAAAACCTTGTCGAAATGTTGTATAATTTCCTGTTATGTTAAACTTATATTAAAGTTTTTCTTCATAACCCATCCAAGCCATCTCCAAGCATTATTAGTCTCAAAGTGGGTTCCTCATCATCAAATTAGTCTTAGCTTAAGTACCAGAGCAAGTAAGTAAGTTTGAAATATGTTTGATTTATTACCTAATGTTACTTAAATAATAAAGATAGTGATTGAGTTACTTTTTTTTTTTAAATAATCGTTACCACTTCTGTACTTTACAAAAAGGTACCGCCCAAGGCTAGACCGGAGACAAACCAGGAAAACACAGAACAAGCCGAGTTTAACCACCAGCAGAGAGTATCCCACGAACAGGTATTGTATGATATCTTGTTTAGAAAGTACCAAATTTAACATCTCCCACTTCCCTTTTCACCTGCTAAACAAACTGTGGACTTGTGTAGATAGGGGTCAATCGTAGTGATCCAGTGAGGTTAACATTACATCTGTAAGATGATAATTTGTGTGTAATATGTTTGATTGGAATGTTATCTGGATATAATATTAGTTGCCTGGTAATTATTTTAATGTAAAATATCTTGATGAGCAAAATTTTGGCTCGTTATTACAATATTACAAAAGAATTTTATATATATACCTGTTTTTATTTAGGAAATCAACTACTTTTGAGTAGTGTTATTCTTCAGAGCATTTTGCTGTATGATTCATCATAGCACTGATTTATAAGCTGGCACATTAGTGTAAAGCAAGCCTTAGTAGATCTGTGGGTAGAGTCAGTATTTTTACTGTTTCAGGGCAATGATAACTGAGTCATACTTCTCTACTGACAACATGTTAAAATTAATTGTAGTAAATTTGATAATTTTTTTTATTTGTTATAAATTAAAATAAATTTCATTCAAAGATCGTAGGCCTTGTAATTATAGCATAGTGCCGACAAGTTTCGTTATTGTTGATCATGCAGTACTAGATAGGTATTATGTCATTTGTCTTCGGTCTTATTGGTCTTTAGTCTTTATGTATATCCAGTGGCAAGGGTACAACTAATTTGTATCAACTAACTTGACAGGACACAGTATTAAAGAGTGTCTGATGAAAAAAACATGTTACAACATGTAATTGGTCATAGTAGGCATAATTATGGTTTGGTATCCAGAAATTACTTGTACTTGCCTGGTCTAATTCAGTTATTAGTTATAATGAGTAGTGGATTTTTGGTTATTGTTTTAACAAAAAAAAAACATTTTTAGTGGAAAATATTTTGTTTTTGAGAAAATAACATTTATGTTCATGCATCTTCTTTACACCTTTTGTACTATATTTAAAGGACTGTGTTTAAAAACCTGAACAAAAAATAGAAATTCAGCAAAGAAACAAAACATATTGTAATCACGCATTTGCATATATAGGTCTGCTTGACACTAAGTTGTTAGCTTGAAAATTACAAAAACAAAATACTTTTGCTTCTTATGGAATGCTAATTTACATATTTTTTTAATTCTTAAATATTTTTTTATTTCTAAGTATCAAACCTATTCAGTCCAGTGTAATAATTTTTTAAACTATATATATATATATATATATTCTATTCAGCTGTTTATTATAACATAAACAGAGTAATGATCTATTACTTACTTTACTTCTAAGATCAAACTTTTTTCCTGCAAACTCGCAAGGTGTGCAGTTTTTCTCTCATATCACTAAGCCTACTATGAAAATAATATATAATTCTTAAATTGCCACTGTGTCATTTGTATTTATATATCATGATTATTTTTTATGTATATTGTGTATTTAGGTACAGATTTTTCCCTCTAGGGAGTAAATTTTGAAAGTGTAACAAACTAAGCAGAAAAACTTTGATTTCTTTTGCTGTAATCACCTAAAAATTTCTATCTAGCATATAATAACAAACATTAAACCTTTAAATTTTATGATGCAAATTAAACAAGTATTTAGGCCTCAGGATGCCTGTACAGTTTCATATATCTACCAAAATTTGTTATTATTGTAGCATTGTGCATATCATTTGGGCTTGTTTTGATTTCTTCATCTACATTTTATATATGTTATGCAAAACAATACACGGTTCTTAATGATTATTGTAGACTTCATTTAGCAGTTATCATACATGTGTTTGTATATAGACATTGCTTTTGAGATTGTGAAAATACTTGATTTTGTTTATAGTTTCGAGTTGCATTACAAATGGTAGTAAATCGAGGAGATCCTAGGGAGTTGTATGTTAACTTTGTGAAAGTTGGAGAAGGCTCAACAGGGATAGTTTATTCAGCTATAGAGAAAAACACGGGTCGTAGAGTGGCCGTGAAACTAATGGATTTAACGAAGCAGCAGCGGAGAGAGTTGTTGTTCAATGAGGTTTGGCATATTTCAGTACTTCAACTTTTGTGATATAAATTGATAGAATAATTATTTTCAAATAAATATTATTTATGTCATTAAGTAGTCATAGGCTAATTGCAAATAGAAATCTTGTATCAGTCCTTTTTGCAATTTCAGAAGGATTTACCATTTCTTATTGTTGATTTTGTGGTTAAATTTGAAATGGAGTTCTAAATAATAAGAACAATGCAAGTACAAAAAACATCATTAAGATAGTATTATCAATCAACAGTTGGATAACAAAATTCACATGGATAATATATTGCTTGATTATTTTAAGTTACTGACTGAATTAGATAAGGTGTACTTTATGTGAATGTATGCCTGTCTGTATTAAATTGTTGGTTCTATGTGTAATTATAGTAATAATTACTAAGTTATTATGCTTACAGAAAGAAAATGTGAGGTATTGGTTACATTATGGGCCTCCTTCGTATTATTTGAAAATTGAAGAGCATATCTCTTGTGGATTTCATTTAAAGTTATCTTTTGAAAACATTAACATTAAGTCAGTTATTACCAAATCATAATCAACAGTTTAAATTTACAGCACCACATTGGAGACAAAAATTGAAACTTTTGTATTAGTTGCATAGAGGTAAATTGAATGCAGTAGCTTTTCACATATTTAAATCATTTGAAAATGTTGAATTGAACATCATCTTATATTAAAAATGTTTCTAAAAAACAAGAACACTAATAATGATAAAAAAGAATACTGGTAAGTTATTTTCTTTACAGAAGAAGTGCAGTTTTTCTGAACAACTATACTTAACAAGTTTTAGGTCTCTGAGAAGATAATATATCAAATCAATTTATTTTTAAAAAGCTTACTTGTTGTATGTATTATTGTTTTTAAGTTTGTCTGTTTCAAAAATTGTTACTAGATAATATTCAACCACTGAGGTACATTAACAGGTTAAGATAGTTATTTTTAGTATCTTTATAAGCATAATTTGTAAGGGAAATAAGGACAAAATTATAAACTTTTTTTCATTACATTTAAATGAATAAATAGCATAATTAGTAAAACTTTGGTTCCTTTGTTTCATCTTATATTTTTATGTAGTATTATTTTAATAATTTAATTGCATAATAATAGTTTTTTACATTCATCGTTTGTAATTAAAAAGTTTGTGCTATGTAAGAAAATGTTTTTACAAATGTAAATAATAAAATGTCTTGCAGTTGTGATTTGTCATCTGTAGTCATGACTACCACAGATAATTTTGTGACCTAGTTACTGGTTTATAACTTTAAGTAACCATCTTACATGGCCTTAAAATTATAATAAAATAGTTTGTCTTGAATAACCGTAACGTGAATGTTTCCAACATGTAGTTGTGTTGTTTTTTTTCAACATTACATTAGGTTGTAACCATGCGGGACTACCACAACTCTAACATTGTTGAGATGTTTAGTAGTTACCTGGTTGGAGATGAAGTGTGGTTGGTGATGGAGTTCCTGGAAGGTGGATCTTTAACTGATATTGTAACATATTCCAGGTACGTTACTATTATCAGCTGATTATTTTATGACAGAAGAGTTCTCTGCAGATAATGTATGTAATAAATTTTTTTCTTGATCCCTGTGGCATGTTTTTGTTTCATCAGTAGACTAATTATGCATCAGAAAATCTTCAAATATATTTTCATCTGTTGTAGTGAAGAATTTTAGCTAGAGAACTGAAAAAGAACCTACTGTCATGAAGGTTAAAAAGTTTAACTTTGTAGTTGTCAGCAAACTGAGCTTACAGAGCACAAAGTGTGCATTGCCAATCCTCAAAATATTTCTGAGCTAAGTGTCTTTAAAAACTGTAAAAAAAATGTTACAACTAGAATGTATGCATAATATATTGTTTTATGGAATTTTATTTTCAAAAAGCTATATAATGATACTTACTTATTGTTCTTTAATAACCAATAATCATTGGTTTGAAAACCTAATATTTTGTAACTGGCAACTAATATTGTTCAACCTTAGGTGTTTAGAACATTAGTGATTTATACCCAAAGCATGTAACAGCAGAAAAAATGACTGTCAACACAATTATGTCTATAGTTTTTGATTATCATAGCTTGTTATTCATGAAGGCTTAAAGCTAGGTTATGGTTCTATATACTTTAATATATAATGTCTCTATTTCACATGGTTAGAATGAATGAAGATCAGATTGCTACTGTCTGCAACCAGTGTCTCAGTGCCCTTGCCTTTCTTCATGCCCAGGGCATAATTCATAGGGACGTGAAAAGTGATTCAATCCTTCTTGCTAGAGATGGAACAGTGAGTGTTTTTGGCCTGTAAAATTATGTTTCTTCTCTCCTGTGAATATATTTTGGTCATTCAGACAAACATTTAGAAAATAAATAAATGGAAAGTGTATACTTAATTGGTAACTGGGTAAAAACAGGAGATGGTGGGAAAGGAGAATTTAAAAGTGGTAATTTTAGTTTGGGATTCTTTTTGTTCTTAGCCTATCAAATATAGTGAAACAGTGCAGAAACTAAAAATGTTTTATATGTCAATTGTTTTATTTTCATTGTACATTTCAAACCAGTGGCATTTAGAAATACCATTTCAGATCTATCTGCTACAAATCATTATTCAGGACATTTTGTTTAATTACAGTTCTCTTCAATTAGGCCAGTCCTGAAACAGCCGAGAGTTTATGCTATTTCTATGCAGTTTAATAGCTTACTGATAAGATGTTAATATTTTAGCTAAAAAAAAACAAAGATGCTGTATAGGTCTAGTGGATATGTTGAAACATCACATACTGCTTTTATCTTTTTTTTTCATTCTTATATATTAGTTTACAAATTTCATACCAGAGTTGTATAAACATCTGAATTGGAATTAGTAAGAAAAACATGACAAAAAAGCATCACCTCTCAAAAGTAATCTTTCAGTCACTGATGTATGGCTAAAGAGAACTGTAAAGTTAGGTAATTTATTTATTTTCCTGTATAACTCATGATTTGGTGGCTCACATAAAAATAAACAATCCATGTAGCAAAGAACAAGCAATAACTTCTATAAAGAAAGTGAAAGAGTTGGTTTTTGATAATTTTGTAATTAGCCCTTTCATGAAAACATATGGTGTTACTAAAGTAAAATTTTCAAATGAATTATGATAGTTTATGTAATGGTAATGAGATATGGAGGGTACTTCAAATCAAATTTTATGTTATGGTAGGAACTGGAAGTGCATTATCATCAGCCTGGTTTGTAAAAATGAACCTTTATTTTTGGTGTAACTAGTAAATGTTAATTATCCCTGTTAATCACAAGAAGAGGAAATGTTAAGTGAAGATATCTGTTGATATTAATATAGAAAACTTTGACTATATAGATTTTTATAATTATTTCTTGAAGATAATGATTTTAAAGTCATTTCAGTGTTTCCTAAGAATTGTGTGAAAATGTGTTTACATTTTTATAAGTATGCTTTATTACCTAATGGTGCTGTATAGTCTGAAAAGTGCTTCCTTTAATGTTGTTTGGTTCATGTCAGATACAAACATAATAGAATTTCAGTGCAGACTGGAATGTTTTGTATTTCCCAGTTTATAGAATTTTACTGAATCTTTTTTTTTTTACAGTAACAAAGTAATATGAGACTATATATGAAATACTATGCTGTTGATATTAATATCTATTTAATTTTATAACTGTTATAATTTAGAAAGGTAAGGATTAACATATATCAGTTTTCCCTTTTTTTGTGAATGTCATTTTTCAGTTGTCATAATTTTGTTAATATACAAAGTAACGAATTAATCTTTTTTTTTTAAATCTGAATCATCTCTGGTATAACTCTAATATTTCTTAAAATATTTCTACATTATCTATAATATAGTTTAACATACGTACTCCTATGGCCATAAGTATTTAACTAGATTAAATAGGGGGTACGTATAAAATAGAAACATAGCATTTATAAAGCACGTCTTTTTTTTTTTTCCAGGTTAAACTCTCAGATTTTGGATTCTGTGCTCAAGTTTCTTCTGATATACCCAAAAGAAAATCTTTAGTAGGGACACCATACTGGATGGCCCCAGAAGTAATCTCTAGGCTTCCATATGGCCCAGAGGTAGTACAAATTATATCTGCTGATTCCACTAAAAATAGCTTGTGATCAACATTATTGTTACAGTTAATTTTTTTTTTCATATTACACTTTTAATAATGATAACTTTGAAAAATATTGTTTGAGCTGGATATGTGCAAGTGATAGTATTATTTATGAAAGAGTGATAAAAGGAATACAAAAACTCGTGAAGTAGTGCTAATGAATCCTTTAATTAAAACCAGTGGTGTTTTTTGACAGTCTGATAACCACATCTACTCCTATATATTTTTGTTATTGCCAAAGGTTAAGTATTACCTTTTAACTAAGCCCCAAGTAAACTTACCACAAAGTCACTTTCAGTTGTCATAATTTTGTTAGCACAAGTAATGATTTATTTTTATTTTTTCACTGTTATAACCATCATTTTTCTTAGAATACTTATACAATATAACATAAATGCTGCCTGGGAATTAAGATATGAAAAATATTACAAAAATAGAGAAGCTTAAGAAATTTTACAAAACACTAAGGTACTCACTAAAAATGATGTGTATAACATTTATTTATAGCTGTTTTGTTATAAATAGAACTGAAAATAGCATTTCAAATTTTTATATGTATATAT